GGGGGGGGGGGGGGTGAAAATATCCGCAAATCGCAAATGTTTTTGCCCCCCTCCCCCTGAGAACTTAAAGGGAAAATTAGAATACGGCACTTCAATAATTCCTTTTTTGTTTTCCCTAATTCCCTAATTCTGAACAGCAATCTAATTCTTTTTTTATGATCTTCCCTCTCCAGTTTAAGATTTGAAAATTGTGATAGCTCTGAATTCTAGGGGGAGGCACTGCCCCTCCCCCCTGTATACGCCCTTAGACACATGGATGTCCTGGACACAATACACAGAGAACATTATTCTTAAATTGGAAAATACAAAGATAACTTCTATTCTCTGTAACCAAGCGTAAATGTTAAGGGGTTTCAGGGGTTTCAAGGGTTTTAGGGGTTGAGGGTAGGGAGGGGGCATTAATTTAGAAGACAACATTTGTTTAATCACACATAGGACTAGAGAGAATCGATGGTAATGCACAGATATTATTAAGTTATAATATTTCATGATTCGTTTTAATTACACTTTGTATCGTTAGGTCACTAAATTCGAACAATGATAGGTTCTATCATAATTTTATGCTTTGTGGATAACACTGTATTATAAAATTGGAATGTGAAAATCGGGTGGTGATGGAAGGGGGAGGGCCGGGAGGATGGGGTGGGAGGGGATGTAATTCAGGAGTTTCTGGTCCATTCTGGGGCAAATTGTATGGTGGGAATAAAACTGTGAAGAAAAGAAATTATAATGCAACGGCTATGGTTATAGGAAGAACAAATATAGAAAATTAGGGGGTAATATCAAAATTACAATGATAATGTTGATATTTCAAAAGGTTTGGGAATCACAATTGGGTCATGAATTCTTTAGAAAAATATGTATATTGTATACCCATATATTTATACAATAATATATGCCCCACTTCAATAAAGTTGGGGTTTTTATAAGCCAGGAGAGAGGAGGGGGGAGGGGGGGGGGTGCGCAGGGCTTCAATCTGATAGTTATAGGAAATCCATTAGTAAAAGAAATCTGGACTAGACACCCGTCACTCCTCCCCTTCACAATGTGTGGATGTACGCACAGAAGATTCAAAGCAAAGTATAGTTAAGATAATTAGATAAAATCAACGAGGTTGCTCATTTGAAAAGCGAAGTATCGAGGAGTGAATAGGCGGGATAGCGGTATTAATTATTAAACAAAGCATTTTGATACCATCAATCTATTATTTTGCACTGATACATATAATAAAAAAATATAAGAATCCTAATGCTAAGTTATTTTCTAATTCGAAGGTAGGAAACGTGGGACCGGGGGCCGGGTGAAAATTAAGTATTGAGTAAAATGGGACTGTCTACACTGCACCTTTTCTATTTAAAGTGATAACTTGAGTCGTCTTCCTATTCCACAGTATTATAGGTATCACCGTATCCTATAATCTTAATTTATATTGATATATAGTGTGCTGGATCAGTGTGTACTGCACTTCAGGTAAATGGAAATGAATATATTAATATCAATTTATACATCTTGAATGATAAACTGTGATAAGAATTTGTTCTTAAATTGTATGCATCGTGGCATCGATGAAAAAACTCCCCAGTTGGCTTTTTGGAGTATTTACATTTATATACATATATTGCTTGGATGTCTGGGTGTATGTTAGTATCCAATAAACGTCAAAACGGCTGAACCGATCGGGCTCAAATTTTTTGTGGGACCTCGTGTGACCCAAGGGAAGGTTTATAGATGATCAAAATTTTAAATATTTGCCTCCAACAAAATTCGATTTTTAAACCGCGAACTTAACAAAGAGAAAATGTTCACAATTAAAATAGAAGATGGGCACGAAGCGACCTGAAAGCCTAGTATGTGTTGATTTTAGTTAAAGAAATAGGGCTGTGGAAGCTCCAGCATATAGCATGTTAAACATCACATATGCAATAAATATAAGTAACAGTATACTTAGAGATGTCAACGTTTTGATTTTTCTAGATTTTAGCTTTCGTTACGATAGTGTTCATCAAAAGTATAAACGTTTAAAACGCGCGTTACGTTGCACATTATGAAATTTTATGGCATAGAGTAACGTTACGTTATGAATTCTCTGCACTTGAATACCTTATACAACGTTAAGCTTTAGAAAATGTTAGTGAAAAACAGTAAGCTCCGTTACGCTTTTGATTTTCCCGTTTTAAAAAACTTTCCCAACGTTGCGTTAAAGCTGATGTATTATAACTACAATTTTTTAACGTTCCACTTTCATGCAAGGTAAATATTTTCAGAGACCTTACGTTACATTTTCACTTGGTTTAAGATCTAGAAGATAACAAACGTTTTGCTTTCATAAAACGTCAATTGGGGCATAGTTCTGTACGTTACAATGCATTTCAGTGCAAAGAATATTTTTTGATAACGTTACGTTTTATCTTAACTTTTCCAATAAAAACTCTTTTAATTACGTTTAGAAATTTTACTAAAATGCACCTTTTCTTACGTTACGATTTATCTAAACGTTATTGTGAAAACTTTTTTGTTACACTTTTTTACAACAGACAATCAAAACTGTTTATTCGTTTCGTTTTTAAGAATGATTTGAAAAAAAATTCAATACGTTGCGTTGTATTAAAATGTTCAAGCCTTAATGTTTCTTACGTTACACTTTATTAAAATAAAATTGTTTTTAAATGAAAGCATTGCAAGATTTTTTTCGTGATTATTACATTTTTTTACTCACCCTGTATGTTGCTGTTGTATTTTTAACCTTTTTAGAGATTGTGTAGAAGAATATGCATTATGCAATATAAAGATGTTATAAAATTATTATTTTTAACGATTTTTAAAATTTGTGAATGAAAGTTTTACCATTAGACTTTCAACTCAAAGTGTTTCTTAAAGGGACTAGAGACGTAATTTCAAGTGACCTTCCATTTAAAAAAAAATTTTAAAATCGTCTATAGGGTTGCGATTTGACGATTTAATATTAGAGAATTCGCCGTAAGGCCACAAAAAATTTTATTTTTTATTTTTATGTTATACATCATTTTCTTGGAAATTCAGTGCTGAATTCAAATCTAAAAAGAGTTTTAAAACATTGAAAATTGAGTGAGTAAGAGCTAAAAAACTCATCAAAAACATTAAAAAGTTACAAAACCGGAATTTAGTACCGTTATTGGGCCATAACTTCTTCAGATTTTAATATATTTAAAAATGGTTTTCGAATCTGAATTTAGCATGAAATTTTCAAGAAAATAATGTATCATATTTATTTTTGAAAATATTTTTTTTTTGCTTTCGGTTGTTTTTTCTTTTTTTAATTTTTCATTTGGCACCCTTTTGGCGGTTTTTGATTTTTTTTTTATTACAATATTTTTTTTTATTTAAAACGCAGCAACCTCAGGTGGGCGGCTAGCTGATTTCTAAAAAAAGTCACAAATCAATTACCCTCAATGTCCAGCATACATTTACAAGATAGGAAAACACTCCTAATTTTCAAATCATCAATCAGATAAAGGTATACACGTTATCATGGCCCTCTTTAAATGGGACACTTCATAAAATGAGTTAAAATTCGGCAAGGCAAACCACTTTTGTAGGTGGAACAGTAATTCTAAATTATTTTAGATTAGTTTAGGGTTAATTTTTTCTTTTTTTACGCAATGCAGACTGACCCTTTTCTTCTATCTAATAGAATTCATAGTTTGAAATATCTAAGGTCTACAACATTAGGTAGCAAAGATATAGGGATTAGAAATATAAGTTTGTGAACAACTCAATTCCTTTAGACATTCTTATCTAACAGAAGTCATAGCTTGAAATATCAAAAGTCTACAACACCAGCTTGCAAAGATGTAGAGATTAGAAAATTATAATTTGTGGCAAATTTTTAGTTCTTTTTGTGCTTTTTTATGTTACTTACAAAGTAAGTAAAAAAGCGGCATTAGCTTTAGTTTACAAACCACAATGAAAATGTTTTCAGAGTTCATGTTTGGGGTTAAAAAATAAAAAAAAATATAGTAAGACAAGTGCTAAATATTTTTAACACAAACAACGCAAAATAAAATTATTTAACAATTTTTTCTTTAAAAAAATCGATTAAAAAATCAGTTTTTTTCTATTCTAAAGTTTTATAAATATTTATTGATGAATAAAACATAGCACGCATTTTCCATTTACTAAAATATTGTTGCATTTTAGTAAGTATCTACATTTCTAAATTTTTCAACTTAAAACATGAACCATGCCAACTGAATTTATGATTTCAAGTAGTCAAATAAACCTGAACTGAAACCCAGCAATTATGTTTGTTCACAGACCCATTCCACTTAATAAGTTGATTTTTTTTTGCAATTAGGAAATCATTTGCTTTATAACAGAAAATGCATATGTAAAATTTCTTAATGTCGTCTTCCTTTTCTAGAGTTTTAGTGGGTTTCTTCAAACAATGGCAAATCAAAAACCTTTAATGTCCAAGAAACATTTATAAGATTTGAATTTTCACTAATAGCATGTTACAAAAAAACTCGTTTACCTTTTAGAAAGGAACTAAGTTTTTTTTTCAAATTTACTTATCCCTATATCTTTCCAACCCGATGGTTTAAACCTTGTATATTTCAATATTAATGGTCTACGATATCGGGTTGCAAAGATATATTAAATGAAAATTAGAGTTTGTGGCATTAACTCATTTTCTTTAAACTTGAAATGAAAAACCATTAGTCTTTGCTGTCATAATCATCAGTCGAATCTCTAACATTGATATATTAGAGACGTTTTTAAATGTTTTGATTGGCAGAATTATTGTTAAACTTTTGAATTTAAAACTCAGCCCTCATAGTCTAACGTTTATTGAACAATATTTTCATCAGACATATATCTAACGTTAGACTAATCAATTTAGTATTCAGAGAAAAGTTATGAAACGTTTCGATTTACAGAATACCATTTTTTTAATGTTATTCGTTACATTATTGAAATTTTGCTCTGTAAAAAAAAAACTTTCGTTTCCTGATTATAAAAATAATAACATATTTCTGCAACGTTGAATTTTTCATTATATTATAAGGGAAAACGTTTTAAAACGTTTTCATAAACAGTAATGCATTTTTCAGTTACACAACGTTACACTTTTTATAATTTGAACTTTGAAATAGAAATCCTTTCGTTACGATATTCAATCAAATCACAATTAATGTTTCAAACGTTAGACTTTCAAGTTCCCCATGGAAACAAAACATTTCTTAACGTTATGGTCTAAAAAGTTGTAGATATTAGAAAAATAACGTTACATTTCCACAAAACGCTAACGTTAGGGGTATGTTCCTCTAACGTTAACGTTTAACGTTAACATTAGGTATGAGCTTCTCTAACGTTAACGTTTAACGTTCACGTTATATAGAATATATACAAACGTTACACATTATTGTAACGTAACGTACAAAAACGTACATTTTACGTTACGTTACACTATCGTTGATATCTCTACTATGTACAATGAATTTTCCGTATATTGGAGCGCATCGAGAGTTACGGCAACCTTATTGTACAACCTTGACATACACACTGTAAATTGTACACTATATAATTACTCCTCTGAGAAAAACTAAATATTTTAGAGCTGTATGACAAATCCTACTTCTGCAGCATGTACAGGTTAGCGTCATATGTATGTACAAATCTTTTTATTGTGTTAATAACAAGGAGCGAAATTTATTGAAATATTATTCAGACGACTTTACTATTGTTTCAGATCTTTGAAGCAGATTAATGAAGTCATAACCACAAAATAGCCCTAGTCATTAAATTAAATGAAATAAAAACAAAGTTTTTCAAATCTCTGCTGAATTTAAAAGCACAAAAAGGCACATTATGTAAATGGCAGGTTTAGGGTTATTTTGGGATTATTTTTTGTATAATCATACTTTTTGAAATAGGTTATAAATAAATGACACAAACTATTTTAAAGATCATAGACTATCTTGTATTCGTCTCTCAATAGTTGATGAATTTCACTTCTTTTCTGAACATCACTGCAAATAATACAATAATTTTAAAGCTTCTTTAATTTGTACCTTCTTTAATTTGTACCTTCAGGAATATGAAAATTAGCTTTATGTTTTCCACCTAAAAATAAGTTTTTAAAATTTAAAAACTCTGAGAGTTTACATACTTTACACAATGCAAGTAAAGAGTAAATGCCAGTGATGAGTGGTAAGAACAGTTGTATCTAAATTGATCACACCACACGTTAAAAAAAAATTATTTTTTGACATCTTTGAACGTAAAAACAGTTTCATTTGCACGTTTTGAGCACATCCACCAGAGTTCAATGCACTCTAATTGAACGTTTCAAGTACACTTTTTGCATGACGTTATTAGAACAATGATACTTAATGCACGTTATTTATAAACAACCATTATTTCTTGCACTTTTTGCACGTTATTGTTACATCAACCATAGTTGAATGCATTCTTGTTAAACGACCAGATATAGCACGTTAGAAAAAAAAACAATGAAATTATGCTGCACGTTTAATACATCTGGTTGATATTGAAATTATGATCAGATTTGTTCATTTTACAATAATCCACGATTAAACAGTCAGTAATAAATCCAAACAACGCAAAAATAAAAAAGGTCCAAAATTTGTAACAATTTGTTTGTGTATATTTTTATTCAATTAACCTAGACTTGAACACGGTTAAACAGTTTTCAAGTTATACAGATACATTAAACACAGAAGAGAGACTTTATTTCTCGCCTTAAATATTGAATAAAAGTGATTTCTGCTGAACCTGTAAATCTAAGTTAATTTTAAATCACATTTTTTATAAAAAGATATATTATATTTGCATTTATCTAGGATTACAAATCTTGATACATTATTTCTGCATTTATCTAGGATTACGAACCCTAGATACATTATATCTACATTTATCTAGGATTACAAACCTAGATACATTATATCTATATTTATCTAGGATTACAAACCTAGATACATTATATCTGCATTTATCTAGGATTACAAACCTAGATACATTATATCTGCATTTATCTAGGATTACAAACCTAGATATATTATATTTGCATTTATCTAGGATTATAAACCTAGATAAATTATATCTACATTTATCTAGGATTACAAACCTAGATACATTATCTACATTTATCTAGGATTGCAAACCTAGATATATTATATCTACATTTATCTAGGATTACAAACCGAGATAAATTATATCTATATTTATCTAGGATTACTAACCCAAATACATCATATCTACATTTATCTAGGATTACAAACCTAGAAAATTTTATATACATTTATCTAGGATTACAAACCTAGAAACATTATATCTACATTTATCTAGGATAATAAACCTAGATACCTTATATTTACATTTATCTAGGATTACAAACGTAGAAACATTATATTTACATTTGGAATACTTACCCAGATACATTGTATCTATATTTATCAAAGATTACAAAGGATAGACTAAACGTTTCATAATTTGAAAACGGGACCAGGGCTGATAAATGCACAGATTTTTCTTGAAATTGGCCGTATACGAAACAAATTACGATGAGTTTGATGATTTAATGCACAGTTTCCCCCCTGTGGAACCCTCAGATGTAAATTGTTAAACCATTTAAATTTTAGCGGGGCCCAGGGGGGGGGGGGGGGAGGGGGGAGGGAAGGAGGAGGGGCTATTTGCACAGACCACCTTTCAAAATAAGAGAAAAGAGAATCAGGTCACGGAACATATCTGGCAAATCGTGGATGCAATTTTTAGCAAGGATCCTGTATCTATAATTTAGATGAGAAACTCGACAGCATAATTGTGATTTCCACCCCATAAATTATTTCTACTATATTTTATAGAGACTTTATATCTAAGCCCTGATTTCTTCATCATGGATTGTTTGATTTATGTAATAATGAGATAACACTCGACTAACGGGTTGCACTGCTCATTCTGCGGCCGCAGTTTGCTAAAGAATAATCAACGTAATTTGAAAGAAATCATCAACTTTTTGCATTCATTAAATATCCCCAAGGTTTTTATTTTAGAAATTTTATGGGAAAGCCAATAATGCTTTCTTGACTGCGTTGTTCTTTGCATAAAGGGTAAGAAAGCGGCTTAGGATGATACTGTAATGAGGACCTGAAAACACGAGCAAGAGGTTTTATTTGGTTTTCTGTATTATGGATTGTTGTTGGTGTAAGTGGGTGGGGGAGGGGAGGGTGAAGGGGCGGATTATTTACCTATTTTAGTGCAAATGTTTTCATGTATTCTTATCGCATTACAGTCAAGCGATCTTAAAAATTAGAATGTTCATCATCAAATAATTTGACGATTTTATGCATCCAGAATTTTTCATTATTAGATGACAAGTCCTGTCAGGGGATACTCCTCACTCCACCCTGTACTAGATGACAGGTCCTGTCAGGGGATACTCCACCCTGTACTAGATGACAGGTCCTGTCAGGGGATACTCCACCCTGTACTATATGACAGGGGATGATGCAATTCAAAATCTGAGGATTTACATTTCCAAGAACAGATTGACATTTCTTTTTCATCGTTCAGATAATATTTGACTATTTACTATAATGTATTGTGTAACATGAAACCAGCAAAAGATACAGCAAATATTTTATGGCAATCCATGAAAAATATAACTAATATGCAAGGTCTTATATAATATTTATTAATGCCTTTTAGGCTAAATTTTCGTACATAGGAACATACAGTGCTAGTACATCCATTCCATCTGTATTGGCGGCTAAATGTGACAGTACAACATGTACAGCAACAGCTACTGACGTCAATACTCTGAAAAACTGTTTTACCAACCCTTCATCATCAGCATGTACCGGTACAGTATGGAACAATTAGATCCTATATAATTTTTGTTTTAAAATGTGCAGTACGCTGTGAAATTTTGTTTATTTTGACTACATTAAATATATATATATATAATATATATAAAAAATAGTAAGTTGATACCAATAAGCGTAATTTCAAGTGATTCTCCATGCAAAGATGGCAATGACCATATAATTTTAAAATAATTCAATAAAATGCTAAAACCAGTTATAAAAGTAAGAATAATATCAGGAACCTACGGAAGTGCCGTCGTAATTTTGCGAAAATTACGACGTAATTTCGCGAAATTAAAGTTTCGCTAATTGCGCATAATTAATACAAAATTTCGCGAAATTACGCCGTAACTATGCGTAATTATAGTTTCGCGTATTACATGTAATCATTACAAAATTTCGCAAAATCATGTTGTAGAAATTACGCAAAATTATGCCGTAATTACTTGTAATTATTTTGTGTAATTATTACTAAATTTCGCAAAATTATGTTGTAGAAATTACGCGTAATCCTGCGAAGTTACAGGAAATGAAAATTATTACGCGTAATTACATGTAAGAGAATAATCTATTACGTTGGAAACCCTATAATATAAATAAGATGTAACCATACAATTTTAAAATTATTCAATAAAATGCTAAAACCAGTTATAAAAGTAAGAATAATATCAGGAACCTACGGAAGTGCCGCCTCCTTACCTACTGTACTGGCTGGAAAATGTGAAGGTTCTACATGCTCTGCTCTAACTACAATAAATGCGGACATTTTAACCATCAAGAAATGTTTTGATAACCCCTCAGCTTCTGATTGTACAGGCAAGATTTCATTTATTATTTAATTTCTTTTACTTTTTTGTGCATGACAAATTATGATACTGTATCCCAATAAACATTAAACATGAGAGTTGATTGACAATTTCAAAATCGTCTTTGTAAATGATTTTTTATTTTAGCATGTTGATGCTCATTATAATCCGTAATATGTTGATTTTGATTGCACTCTGTTGTTCTTTAGTAAAATGAGAAAAAATGTTGTATGTAAACACTAAACAACATACAATTTTATGTAAACAACGTACAACCTTATGTAAACATTGTTCAATTTTGTAAGTAAACAACGTACAATTTGTAAAAACAACAAAACGGCCATTTTATCGTTTACATAAAATAAATGCTAACAGTCTAACCTTTTGAAATTAGGTATTGCTAAGTCTAGACATAGACTGTCTCGAAGTCGTCACTCTATTTCCACGTTTATTGGAACCACTGTAGATTTGGAAATGTTCAGGGGCTTACAGTAGCACAACATCTTTACCCAGTGTACTGGCAGGGAAGTGTGCGGGTACAACTTGTACAACACTAACTACAGAAATGGCGACAGTTAAAAGTTGTCTCTCTAACCCATCTGCGGCAGCCTGTACAGGTCAAATAAATTCCTCGCCTAAAGCTCATTTAACTCTTATATAACAATTTTCTGAATTATTTTCTTTTTTGTGAAGGACAAGTTAAAAGTCCTTAAGTTTAGAATACCTTTTTGCTATTTTGATGAACTATTAAAAAGAAATAATATTGTATTGAGTTCAAGATGATACAAACGAAGAAATGAAAAACTGGAAAATTAAAAGTTTTGAAAAACTAAAACAAATCAATATTTAGCATTTTTCAGGAACATACGGTGGTACAACAGCTCTGCCTGCCGTCATTGCTGGAAAATGTGATGGTACAACATGTACAACTTTAAATTCAGAAGTTACAATAATAAAGAGTTGTTTAACAGATCCAAAAGCTGCAGCTTGTACAGGTTTAAACAGATTATTCAGGGATTGTAAGTATAGTAATTACGCTTTGGGTGACTAGCATCTATAACAAAACCTCGCTAATAATCTAAGTTCGAGCTGAGTCAGAAATTTAAGAGGAGTCTTCACATTTGTGTAGATTTTAAATTAATAATGAAAAAAAGGAAGAAAGACAAAATTAAATTATTTCAGTCAGCCAACTTGTCTTTTTCTTAATCTTACCCCAATCACAAGGCCGGGTTCAGATATTGGGGACCTGATTTAATGAATAGGGAGGCATAGTTGAACCAGGTATTATTATACTAAGTTGAAACCACATCCTCTTGAGCTTAGCCTTTCACAATTTCACAAATGAGAAGTGTTATTACCACACTTAACCTACATGGTTTAAATTTGTCTCACTATTTATATAAAAATCTGGCCCCTGGTTTTATCACAATAATTTTCTTAAGTTTTGGACTTTGGCCTTCATGTGCAGCGTACACTGTACAATGGCTGATTTTGGTAAAATAACAAATGACGTCTAGAGTCCAAAAACTAGATTTGTATTTAGCAAGTTCGCTACATATGCTTTTCGCTTGCTTACTAAACATAAGAACCTTGATCACATTGCATAAGCTTGAATTTATGAAAAAATTGAACTTAAAGTGTTTTTAAAGTTTTCTCTAAATCAAAATGTCATCTACGCTTTGCTTCAATTGGACAATGTACATACACAGATTTGACTGGAATGTAATTTTCTGTACCCTAAAGCTGTACATGCAGGGTGTCCCCATAAACATGGCCCGGCAATTGAGTGAAGACTTCGAGATTGTCTTTAACTTGTAAGTGTTTTTTATCTATTTTTCTGTACAGTGTACGCGACAACGATTAAACTTTTTGTTGGTTATAATTGTATTCTTATTAATATTATTATTCTAGATTACAATAACCGAAGAAATCTGATTGTCAAATGGATACATTAGGATCAAAAATATCAAAGTTTAAATTCTACGATTAAAATTTTTTGCTGACATTTACAGTAATTAGGAAGATTTTTGGTGACACCAAATAAAAGACATTTTTTCAATTTTTAAAAATTGGCTTTTTAACAATCTGACTGCATGCAGTTTGCTTAAATTGTAAATTTTGAATATTGATACACCCTAATCAATCAATAATCACGATTTATTCAATTCATATTTGTCCAAACATGCTTATTTTGATATGTTATATATAACATGCTGTCAAACATAGCATCAGGTAAATTATTAAAATGCATCAGCTAGCAACTTTTGTTTTATAAAAATTACAAAATTTACTTGTGATGATAAGCTTGCATGTGGTATGTGCATGTTGCATGATTATTTGTGAAAACTGAAATATTAAGATTTATTTTAGTGTAGAAAGTTTAGCAGATAGTAAATAATTAACAAAGACACTTGTTTAGGTACATATAGTGCTAGTACATCCATTCCATCTGTACTGGCGGCTAAATGTGACAGTACAACATGTGTAGCAACAACTACTGACGTCACTACTCTGAAGAACTGTTTCACAAATCCTACAGCCGCAGCTTGTACAGGTATTTTGTTGATGGTAAACCTAATTTCACAAGGTGGAGTACTTTTAAATGGTGCCATCAATAATTACAAATAAAAACTCATTAGGCTCAATCTCTCGAAATACGAACTGTGAGTAAGACAACCTCCTGAAATACAAACTCCTGAAATACAAACTTCTGAAATACAAACTCCTGAAATACAACCCCCTTAAATACAACCTCCTTAAATATAAACTCCTGAAATACAAACTCCTGTAATACAAACTCCTGAAATACAACCTCCTGAAATACAACCTCCTGAAATACAAACTTCTGAAATACAAACTCCTGAAATACAAACTCCTGAAATACAACCTCCTGAAATACAAACTCCTGAAATACTAACTCCTGAAATACAAACTCCTGAAATACTAACTCCTGAAATACAAACTCCTGAAATACAAACTACTGAAATACAAATTCCTGAAATACAAACTTCTGAAATACAAACTCCTGAAATACAAACTCCTGAAATACAAACTTCTGAAATACAAATTGCAGAGAACATTTCTTCCTTGAATACAAACTCCTGAAATACAGACTAGAAAGAAGACTATGTTCAGAAAAACAAACTTTTTTACTACAAAGTCGTAAAATATAGACTACGCGAATAAGACTATCTTCTGAAAGATAGACTTTGGAAAAACAAACTCGTGAAATACAAGCTCCAAAATAGACAAACAATTGAAATACTAACTGTGGAGATTAATCATCTCTTGAAGTCAATCTTAGCTCCGGCCATACTGCAATGTGTCGAGAGATTTGTTTGGGGGGAGGGGGGGGGGGCTGAGGCTAGAATATGCTACCTGTAAATTATCACTGCGAAAACAATGTTCTTGTCAGGAGTTTCTCTTTCAGGAGTTTTTCTTTCGGGAATAATTGTGATGGCGCCTGTTTAATTATAACTATTTAGGTACTTATACTGGTTCTACATCTCTACCCAGTGTACTGGCAGGGAAGTGCGATGGTACAACATGTACAACATTAACTACAGAATTGGCAACTGTAAAAAGTTGTCTCACAAACCCTTCTGATGCTGCTTGCACAGGTAAAGTGTTCTTACATATTAAACATATTAAAGGGACAGTCGTTTTTATTTCAAGTGACCTTTCATTTAACGAGAATTCACACCCTTTAACCTTTTATTTGCAGAATATATCATCGTCTTTTTTACTTGAAAGATGTTAAATTCTTCAACTTTTTCCATTGTTTTTAAATCAAAACTTTGCAAGTTAATTTATAGATAAACCCCATTCGAAAATGATGAATTTTTCATTTAATTTTCGTCTACAGTCCCTTTATGTCAGAAAATGTATTTAAAAAAAAATTTTAAGTTATATATTTCAAGGAACATATGGTGGTGCAACAGCTCTGCCTGCTGTACTGGCCGGAAAGTGTTCTGGTACAACTTGTACAACACTCAATACTGATGTTACTTCAATAAAAAGCTGCTTTACAGATCCTACAGCTGCAGCCTGTACAGGTTCGTACAACCATATACTTCTATGATTTGCTTTTGTGCGTCCCCCAATTGAGCCTCATCAATATTGTGTGATTCCTCAAGTAAATCCTAACGTTGTGTCCTTATAAGCTAATTTTAGGAACGCACACATATATAGTCTTCTATTTCTATTGCTTGAAACATTTGTAAATCATGTGTTTGAATCAGGTACATACAGTGCTAGTACCTCCTTGCCCTCTGTACTGGCTGGAAAATGTAATGGTGCAACATGTACAACCCTTACAGGAGAAATGGCAACAGTTAAAAGGTGTTTAACAAATCCAGCTGATGCATCCTGTACAGGTAAATAACATTAACCCCATAGATACATTTTAGTATTTTACACAATGAGCCCAATTTTATTTTTAAAAGGCAGAAACCAATTAAATTTTATTCCGGGTGTTGTCCCGGTTTGCCTTGAATAGTCTGTAATTGTACTGTACAGCTTTCTCTAGCCTGGTACTTGAAATGAACCAGAGAAAGGCTTCTTTGCTTTTCCTAAACTTGAACATATGGAGCTGAAACTTCTCTACCTGGTCTACTGTCCGGAAAAATCGACGGTACAACTTGTACAACACTTACTAATGACGTAAAACCATTAAAAACTGCTCTACAGATTCAACAGCTGCAGCCTGTACTTGACTGTACAAATATTATAAGTATTCATTGATGTTCATATTGTGTTGATTCAGGTACATACAGTGGTAGTACATCTTTGCCTACTGTACTAGCTGGTAAATGTGACGGTACAACATGTACAACTTTAATAACTGATGTAACTGCACTGAAGGCTTGTATGTCTACTCCAACCAATGCTGCATGTACGGCTACCTATGGTTCTGCAGGTAAATCTTTTTTTTTTAATTTGATAACATAGCAGTTGTTTTTGTACAGTGCCAACCATAAAACTGTGGGATGATTGTATTCTTTGTTCTTTTCTTATACAATTTTGAAGTTTATAATTGTTACAACCGATATATTTCTAAATATGTTCATGGACCGAATTTAATATGAGCTTGAGCTAGGTCCTTAGATTACCTACCACCGTTAAAATCCTGAATCCCAATTCTTATCCTAATGAAACTTTAACTTTGAATCGTTGATTTAGGAATTTAAACCGAGTGTAGGTAGTTCAGCGACCTAGCTCAAATTCATTTAATTCGGCCCCATGGTACATTGTCGTGTCTTATGTTAATCACTGTATTTGAAAGCTAATTCTTATTTTCTCTAAAACATTACTTCCTTACCTGTACTGTACATGTAAAACTGTACAGGTACTATTCCTACTGCACTGGCTGCTAAATGTGAGTCATCAACCTGTACAACACTTACAACCGACCTAACAACAGCCAAAGCATGTCTAACTGACTACACAGCAGCAACATGTACAGGATCATACGGAGCTGCTACAACAATACCAACCAAGCTAAACCAGGTACAGATAGGGGTCTGAGGATACAGGGAGAGCATACAAACATAGAACTTTCAGACAAAGATTAGAGTTTGGAGTTCCTGTCACGGGATGGTTATTGCGGGAACTTTAAAATACGAATACATTATCAAGTTGAAAGAATGTTAATATTATTTAAAATATTTAATGTTTCCAAGTACTGGACTCCTTCTTTTTAAATTTGAAATACAACAATTGTAGTCGAAGATTGGGCATATATATTACGATTGGTTGAGCAATATTTGAATACGGAAATACACAAATTAATTTTTAAACCAACAGGGATAAAGGGTAAAAGCTCTCTCGCTTTTAGAGGATATCAAGGGTTTAGAAGTAAATTGTAGAGAAATAATCAGAAATTTTATGGAAACTCCTACAAAAAAGGATAATGCAATGCCTAAATAAAAAAACAGGCCCATGTCATGTCATTTTTTCCCATTTCCAATGAAGAAAGATTACAGAATCTCGGAATGTTTCCGGAACGATTTTTCTTCCGTAAACCGTTTCCCGGAATTCCAATTCTGGATCATTTCATTTCAAGCATAAATTCTATTCCTAAATAATGGTAGTTCTAGTTAACATGTATATGTGTTGTATTATGTACAGATGGACAAGTGCATGACAAGTATAGATGACGCTACATGTACTGCTGGGTACGGTACAAGGGTCAACTCAGGAGGAACTGGTTTAGTGGCCTGGGCTCAACAATTAAGTAAGTATTTTTATCAAAATGATTAATTTTATCGAAAATTTTAATAATGAAATATTTATAATTAATGTAAATTATATCTTATATTTATATTTTCAAAAATTGCAGATTTTCAGTTAAATGCAATATTTTTAGAGAAACCAAGTGTTGTACAGTGTGGATTTGGAGTTAAAACTGGAGCATTACCGTTTATCAGGTGATAACAAAAACCTGCACTTTTTCTGAAATTTCAAGCTTTCCTTTAAACAGATTCAAGATATTTCCTACAGTTTTAATCAGAAATAACCAAATGACATAATCTTAATTAGATAATTAGATTAGTTTCATTTTTTAATCAAGCTCATTTTAATTTTATGAGAATACAAATAATTTGAAACAAAAGTGTTAACTAAATCAGACCAAAAAACCAAAATTAAGAAAATTTTAAAACTTTTAATTTTCAGGACAACTGATACAGCTGAACCAAACAGTTGCAGTGTCTTCCCGTAAGTTTTTTTCCAAAAAATTTGGGATAACATTGTGCTCATTTTTACCTATAGGAGACCAGGTAATAACTACAAACATAAGAGCGAGCATGAACTCTTTCTCTTCGGCTCACCTCTATTTGCACTGTATTTTCAGTTAAATGCAATATTTTTAGAGAAACCAAGTGTTGTACAGTGTGGATTTGGAGTTAAAACTGGAGCATTGCCGTTTATCAGGTGACAACAAAAACCTGCACTTTTTCTGAAATTTCAAGCTTTCCTTTAAACAGATTCAAGATATTTCCTATCAGAAATAGCCAAATGACATAATCTTAATTAGATAATTAGATTAGTTTCATTTTTTAATCAAGCTCATTTTAATTTTATGAGATTACAAATAATTTGAAACAAAAGTGTTAACTACATCAGACCAAAAAATCAAAATTAAGAAAATTTTAAAACTTTTAATTTTCAGGACAACTGATACAGCTGAACCAAACAGTTGCAGTGTCTTCCCGTAAGTTTTTTTCCCAAAAATTTGGAATAACATCATAATTGAGGTCAGAATTAATAAAAAGTAAGTCGTAGTTAAACTAACTACGACTAGTTGAAGTACTTATATATGTGTGGCCAAGATATAGATAAAGTATTTAGTTATACATAGATTTATCGCTCTTTTTATTAATCATGCATTATTTCAAGCTCGACCTTCAGTCATAAATTAGCATGTTCGATTCACAACAGTACCTTCAAACCTTGGCTGAGTAACAATAAGGAAGATATTGTCTTTTTTATTTCTTGAAAAGTGTTGAATTCTTACAATCGCTTTCATTGGCTTTGCATGCATAATTCGCAAGTCCCTGTTACAGTTGAAAGTAATCAATTTTCATCTAGAAGAAGGACAATGATTAGAAAAAGTAGTAAAACCATTGTGAATCTAACATGCAACTTGAATTGAGCGCGGTTCATTCATATGATTTTGTTTTCAGTCCCTTAGAATACGACTTCGAGGTGTTTTATTTAAATATTTGTATCTACAGGACAGTTTTGTCTTTTCCTAACCCTATCTCTGCTAGAACACCAAGACGATTTTCTTTTGATTCCCATGTTGTGACGATGAGACTTTTTAATTATTTGTGTACAATTATCGAAAAAAATCTCTAACTCTTTATTTAAGTTTTGTTCCATTCCACGTTTCCGTCATCAGGGTAGCAGAGACAAATTTAATGACTCATTTTAAAAATGTTTTAACATTTTATATTTAGGAGTTATTATCGAGTTGTGTTTAAGTCTTGCGTTCAGTCCGAGCCAGATAATACAGATAAATATCATATGCAGGTATACAATATCCTGATAATACAGATAAATATCATATGCAGGTATACAATATCCTGATAATACAGATAAATACCATATACAGGTATACAATATCCTGATAATACAGATAAATATCATATGCAGGTATACAATATCCTGATAATACAGATAAATATCATATGCAGGTATACAATATCCTGATAATACAGATAAATATCATATGCAGGTATACAATTTCCTGATAATACAGATAAATATCATATGCAGGTATACAATATCCTGATAATACAGATAAATATCATATGTAGGTATACAATATCCTGATAATACAGATAAATATCACATGCAGGTATACAATAGCCTGATAATACAGATAAATATCATATGCAGGTATACAATATCCTGATAATACAGATAAATATCATATGTAGGTATACAATATCCTGATTATGCAGATAAATACCATATACAGGTATACAATATCCTGATTATACAGATGAATACCTTATTAGGTACAAATAGAATGTGAAGACGACAATATAATATTACAGTATAATTCCATGTGATAATTTTACAAACAATAGACAACACATGGTGAGACATAGCTGGAGATTACTGACAGCAGGATATTTAAATTCAAATGTGAGCAAATTAGTCGAAGCTAGAATACAAGAATACGACCTTTTAGCATCGTCTTCTATATTGTCAGCCATCAGAGAATCTGATAATATCATTTTATTACAGCCCGATGCCGCGACGGATTCACAGGAAGTGCAAATAAAACAAGATGGATGGTATCAGGTAGATAAATTTATAAATTTAGAAAGCAAAAAAAATTAATCCGAGTTCAAAGGTTTGGTATTTTTTATCGCATGTCTAGTTCCTTTTACCCGGCAGGGTGTAGTTAAGCCACACCTTTCATTTATTCCCTATTTATCTCAGGATGGGTTTTCCTTAAATCATATATTTGAACTTAAATCCTTCAATTTAAAACTTAAGGCTGCTAATCATAAGTTTCAGCGTCAGATATTACCGTTGTAAGTTTGTCGTTGCAGAAAGGAAACACTCGCCACAAACTCTAATTTTCTAAATACCCTGATGGTCTTAATTTGGATACTTCATGGTTTGAAATATCGAAGGTCCAACAATGGTTGCAGAGATGAAAAGATTAGAAAATTATAGCTTTTTTGTAGTGTTCAGTTCCGTTACTACCAAATCCCACTTAGAAATTATAAATTTATCTTTTAATCTTTTTTTTTTTTTTTTCTTTTTTTTAAATGTATCCGTAACTTAAATGCTCTATTCTCAATCTCGTGTCTCAAAAATGAATTTACACGATATTGTTGTAAAATATTTTTATTTTTTGTTACATGTAAACAATTTTGTAAAATTAACATAATCTCAACACGGAGATTATAAATATTTAGATTTTAAAAAAATTATAAATTTATGGAATGGATTTTAATCAATCGTAACTGATTTATTTATTCAATTGATTTTTAGATCGAAATGTCCACATTTATGACGCTGAAAGCAGCTTCTCTTCGGGCCAAACTACAAATTCTGAAGGTAAAACTTTAAACTTATCAAACGAAAAATTAAAAAGTTAACATAGCACCAATACTATAATTTACAGTTTTTCTACTGAAGCACCAATTAAAATGTCAATATGAAGATGACATTTAAGCAACACAATATTTTTAGTAAATGGTTGTAAAATTAATTGTTTAATTAGTCATCACATTGCTCTAATTTATAGAGCACTATATTTAATATATAATTAAGATCTCGAGTAAAAACCCAACAGCTGCATGTTCTGCAGCTGCTACTGCCTGCACGGAGCTACTCACACAAGAAGCTAAAAATGATGTATGTCAAATTCTTGAGTTTGAATTTAAATGAAATGTAGTTTAATTTTCTTTATTTATAGAGTGACTTGTCTAATTCCCTTCGGTATCCTTTCCAGCTTTCTCTTTAGTTGTATATCCTTATTGTTCTAGCTTTAAATGGAATATTTTCAATTATGATATCTCTGCTAAAGTAACTCATCTATTTCTGCCGCACAGCAATTGAAGGAAATTATCAAATCAAAGACCTTTCAAGAAAAAACGACGAAATATTCCACATTATCAATCAGATAAAGGTTTAAAAACTACCCTTTTAAATTGGACATTTCACTCTGTAAATGAGTAACCTATTAAAATCACGTCCTAAAGTTTCTTAACATTGAGAACAAATTATAAAGAAGTTTTCCTGGAAAATCGTGAATTTCGCCCAATTTTCGTTGATTGTATAGACAATAAAGCGAAATTTATGTGCTTTATTTTTGTTATTTATCAGTTTTTAACTTGTGATTATCCTTTTATTGGTCAAAAACTTGTCTGGATAAAAAAAAATATTTTTAGGTGACTGGTACATCTCTCGATGCTCCATTCAATAGTGAAGGAGCATTCCAATTGTGCAGCGGAGATAAAATAATTGCAATATTCAGCAAAAATGGTTTGTATCCAATCTTTTCTAATAATGTAATAGGATAATGATTATATTTTAATGATACCTTCCAGAGGCAGAGCAACACAATTTTCATTCAATTTCTAGAATTTTACATGAAAAAATTGATAATAAAACATTTAAGACTCGGTATCACTTTAGTATTAAAACAACAAAAATAAAAATAAAAAAGTTTTTTTTTCATCGAACTTAATGTTTTATTTTTGTTTAGGAGGAGCAACTGCTCAGACAGAAACTACTATATCAGATACTGCTAAACTAGATCAAACCATTCTGACTGTCACTAAAATCTGGTATTCCTAGGTCCTAGATTTTAGATTCTAGATTTTAGATCCTAGATCTTAGATCCTAGATCTTAGATCCTAGATCTTAGATCCTAGATCTTAGATCCTACATCCTAGATCTGAGATCCTGAACCTTAGATCATAGATATATCCCAAAATTCTTTTATTGTTTAATCTGTTATTTGTAAACTTGAATCTCGATGTCTTGCTAAAGTTAAAGATGGCAGCTAAAACAGGAAAGGACGAACATTTTAAAATTAAATGTCGTTTTCAACGCTAATAGAGCAACCTCCTGGTTATGAAACAATTCTCAATTTATGTAATTTTGATTTCAGAATTTCTTAATTTGATTTAGCCACTTTCATTATTTTCTAAAATCGTTATTTTGAGAGGTATCTTCTGTATATTAAATGATAATAGTCTGACAAAGTGAAAAAAAATACTTCCAATATTTTTTAAAGAATCAGTATTAAAAATTAGGGTTAAAAAATTTATCATTAAATTGTGTACCTTAATTAGTTACAACCCATTCAGAGTTTAATATTTAAGATATCATGTTTTTTTAACGTTTTGCATAAATTTAATATCTTAATTTAATGGTATTAATTTATTCTAACTGCCATATTTGTTTTTACCCGGTGTTGGTGCTTTGTAATATATTTGCTTTTTAATATTTGTATTTTTTTAATTTGGAGGTGTGTACATTGCAGAACTGAAGAACAACAAGTTAGATATCCCCCCTCCTCTCTTTTAACATGGGTTATATATCTCCCCTCCTCTCTTTTAACATGGGTTAGATATCTCCCCTCCTCTCTTTTAACATGGGTTAGATATCTCCCCTCCTCTCTTTTAACATAGGGTTTGGGAAAAGGAAATATAATTTATATTGATCTCTGTACACACCCAATTGTTTATTTACTCTTTTATTTTGAAATTATATTTATAACTTAAAATTGAATAAAAATATCAATTTAATAAACTTAACATTTTTTGTACAACTGCAACTTGGAAACACAACGTTACCCTAAAAAGCTTTGTTTGATAGAGATGCATGAGCTGTCCAGGTTTCTATTTTTTAATTATGAATTTTTTTCCACTGTGGTTTCTCTTTAAAATTATTTTGCAGATGTCAACGTACAGAAACAATAGAGTTTATTGTCAACGAATTTTGTGCAACTTCCTGAATGTAATAAATAAACAATTTATAAACAAATAAATAAACAGCTGAAAAATTGTTGTATCCGCCTTTTCTTTCAATCAGAAATATCGATTTTACAACACTTATTTTTTTAGCATGATTCATATTTCAGAAAAAAATTGAATAAAATCAAATTGCACATAACATATTTTTCTAAATGATTATAAGCCAAGTTAAAACGTATATACAGTGAAACCCTTAATAACGAATACTTTGGAATAATTTATCAAATGTCGTCTTGACAGTTTTTTACTATATTACGTAAATTTCAGTATTTGCGAAAATAAATAAATAGCCATGAATATGCGGGAACAGTTTTAAAGAGTTCCATATAATCATTTAATTAAAAAACTAAATATCTGCACCATTCCATTATCAGAAATTGAAGACATTTGATGAATTCTTTCGATGTATTCGTTATTAAGGGTGTCACTGTTTTAAAGCACAAATTCCGTAAGTGAACAGCTGACTTAAGTAAAATTGAGAGTTAGTCCATTCGACTATTAGTCCAATTGATTTAGCATTAGATAATTGCATCTCATGCTTCAGTGAATTAAATGATACTTGAACAAAGTCAAGATTTAACATTATTGTAATAAAGTACATTTGTACTTGTAAATTTTTGACACTTTGCGTTCAAATGTACAATTTGTAAAATTATTTGCTTCAAAAAATATTTTTCTAAATCATATAACAAAAAGCTAAATTACTTTGAAGAAGTTAATCTTAAATGTCGTCTTTTATCTTTCAACATCATCCTTCAACAGTAGGAATTCGTCTACGACAGAAACGCAATGTGGGAAAACACTATTTAAAGAATTTTGGATATTTATTGAAAGCGTAGCTTTCTTATAATTTTACATTTTACACATTTCTACAGGGTGAACTGTATATAATGCATGGAGGGAAACGTAACACAATATACTTTTAAGAAGACACCCTGTGTAAGTATCTAAAACCATCAACATAATTAAAATTATATATACAGGGTGTCCCAATAAACATGGGAATTCAATGACGAATTCGCTATCGTCATTTTAAATAATTCTATGATTTAGTATAGTGATACCTAGACGAAGGAGGAAGGCCAACCACATCAATCTCTAGTCCGAACCACATTCTCATCATTTTCTCGTCCGAACCACATCGCAATCCTCGTCCTTTCAATATTATTTTTTTTTAAGTGTCCGATCCTTGAAAATAAATCCATTTTTTAAAAATATGGCGACGTTAGGGCATAGATGAATTATTAAATTTTCCCAATTAAATTTTAGATTTGTGTAAAAATGAATATGCTCCATAAACGATGTTCTACAAAAAAGCGTCTGTTTAAGAGCCCTTTCTTTTGCGGAAAATGCCGCAAAACATTCTCAAACTCGATGTAAACAACTTTTTGTAATATTCAAGCTGAATTTGGGTTAGAGATATATGACTTACAATTTTTATATGATTAAATACTGTTTGAATTCATTGGGTTGTGACCAATTAATTGTAGCAAATGATTTGAATAATATAAATTGAACATTATTTTTTCTATAATTTTAAGCATGTGGCAGGAAGTAGTGATCTCTTAGTGGGGACAAGAAATCTACCTTATTTGTAAATAAATCAGAAATCAATGATTATTTTGTATGGGTTGAAATGGAAAGATTAAAGACCATGTTCACGCGAATTCTTTGGTATAAATTTTTATTTGTGAAAGTTATCCATTTTGGTCTAATTTTAGTAATAATAACAAAATATTTCAATTTAATAGATTTAAGGAGAAAGGCGAGAAAAATGTTATCACATGTAATTTTTACTTTGTATATTTTAAGATGGGTTAGGATTTTCTGAGAACCAATCCAAGACCTTCTTCCAAAAAAGGCCAAAATTGACGAGTTGCATCGTTTATATACAGTGTGTCTCACGAAACATGACAGATGAATAGTTTTTTTAATGTCTTCTTCCATATATTATATTGGATATTAAAGACTTTTTGCATATCATTTTGTTAAAACCATCTTTTTCTCAAATAATTTTTCTTTGAAATCAATTTTACAATAATATTTACAATAATTATTATCATTTACAAAATAAACGGCATGAAACGCTTATTTAATTTCTTAAGTTTTTAAAGTTTGAAAAAGATTGATTAAAGATATACCAAGATGAATTGATATTTTTGAGATAGTTGAGATTTGTGAAAAATTTTCTCTTTTACAGTGAGAACCAGAAAACAGTTTTACTAATAACTCATCTAATCACTTCTGTACTGACTTATGTTCAATGGACTATTTAAAGTCATAACTTGAGTCTAAAAATCGTCTTGCTATTACAGAGTTTCATGCTTATCTTTGTAGATATAATTTGAGGGTACATACAGGGTGTTTCATGTTTATCTTTGTAGATATAATTTGAGTGTACATACAGGGTGTTTCATGCTTATCTTTGTAGATATAATTTGAGTGTACATACAGGGTGTTTCCTCTTAAAAGGTGTATTCATGATTGCACAATCACAGGTCGAAATAGGCCAATTCAAGCCTCACGTGCTTTCACTAGCCCTGTAATTAAAAAAACAAGAACAGAATTTTTGTTATACAATACGAAAATTACGGTGACACCGTCGTGTGAGTTTTACAGAAACATTTGCTCAGTTTGACACAAACTGAGCATCAGGAATATAAAAAATATGCAAATATTTTCTGCACAGTTTGGGAAAGCTTTATAGAGAAAGTAATGAAACTTTTATGCTAAAAGTTTGAAATGTCAAAACCTCTATTCATATAGCTAGAGGTGATTTAAAGTTCTTTCAAATAAGGTTAAGTTAAAAAATAATGGAGAAATTGAAATTTAAAAAAATGGGATGGAATAAATTGTAAAAACATGAATATCCAGAAAGGAAAAGACTGAAATGTAAAATGTTTACCTAAAAATGATTTAAATGTAGATTTATAGTTTTTCAGGATAATTTATACTGAAGTTTGAAAAACAACATGAATAGTTTGACAACTAATGTATATATAGTGGGGAGATTATAGATAGATGGATAGTAGATTAAAGGTTGAATAGTAGGTAGACTAAATTATAGATATAGTGGGTAGAGTGTAGATAGATGGATAGTCGACTAAAGGTTGAATAGTAGGTAGACTAAATTATAGATATAGTGGGTAGAGTATAGATAGATGAGGTAGACTAAATTATAGATATAGTAGGGAGAGTATAGATAGATGGATAGTAGATTAAAGGTTGAATAGGAGGTAGACTAAAGGTTGAATAGCAGGTAGACTAAACTATAGATATAGTGGGTAGATTAAATTATAGATATAGTGGGGAGAGTGTAGATAGATGGATAGTAGACTAAAGGTTGAATAGCAGGTAGACTAAACTATAGATATAGTGGGTAGATTAAATTATAGATATAGTAGGTAGAGTGTAGATAGATGGATTGTAGACTAAAGGTTGAATAACAGGTAGATTAAATTATAGATATAGTAGGGAGAGTATAGATAGATGGATAGTAGACTAAAGGTTGAATAGCAGGTAGACTAAACTATAGATATAGTGGGTAGATTAAATTATAGATATAGTGGGGAGAGTGTAGATAGATGGATAGTAGACTAAAGGTTGAATAGCAGGTAGACTAAACTATAGATATAGTGGGTAGATTAAATTATAGATATAGTGGGGAGAGTGTAGATAGATGGATAGTAGACTAAAGGTTGAATAGCAGGTAGACTAAATTATAGATATAGTGGGTAGAGTGTAGATAGATGGATAGTAGATTAAAGGTTGAATAGGAGGTAGACTAAATTATAGATATAGTGGGTAGAGTGTAGATAGATGGATTGTAGATTAAAGGTTGGAAAGCAGGTAGATTAAATTATAGATATAGTAGGGAGAGTATAGATAGATGGATAGTAGATTAGATGCCTGATGCTAAAGACCAAAATTTCATTTTTTAGAGTGTGAGTATCTGGGAAATTTCCCAAATGCCTGGGTATCTGGGAAATTTCACAAATACCGGCAGATATTTGAAGGTGGTATATTTTAAGATTTTGGAAATTTCTCAAATGACTGGAAATTTTTAAGATACCCAACATTTGGGGAATTTCCCAAATGCCTTGGTGTCTGGGAAATTCCCCAAATATCCAGTCATTTGAGAAACTTCCAAAATCTTAAAAATAAACCACCCTCAAATACCTATAGGAATTTGGGGAATTTCCAAAATGCCTGGGTATCTTGGAATTTTCCCAACTGCCTGGGTATCTGGTAAATTTCCAAAATACCTGGGTATATGGGAAATTTCCCAAATGCCTGGGTATCTGGGAAATTTCCCAAATGGCTGGGTATCTGGGAAATTTCCCAAATGCATGGGTTTCTGGGAAATTTCCCAATTGCCTAGGTTTTTGGGAAATTCCCCAAATATCCAGACATTTGAGAAATTTCAAAATCTTTAAAATATACCACCCTCAAATACCTACAGGAATTTGGGGAATTTCCCAAAATGCCTGGGTATCTGGGAAAGTTCTAAAATGGCTAGGTTTTTGGGAAATTCCCCAAATATCCAGATATTTGAGAAATTTCCAAAATCTTAAAAATATACCACTCTCAAATACCTACAGGAATTTGGAGATTCCCAAATACCTGGGTATCTCGGAAATTTCCCAAATGCCTATAAAATGTAAATGCTGTCGTGTCATGCCCTCTCCCCCTTTTTTTCCTATTAAACTTATGGGATATACAATATACATATTTGTGTATTACCCCTTTCTTTTATTTTAATTTGATGCTTTCACAAACACTGAATATTGCCTTCCCCTTTCCCCACTTTCCCCCTGTAAATATTACAGTTGCTATTATTTTAAATACTGTAATTATTTAAACTTCTTTTCAGAAATTTTATCATTTCTTTACATTTGAAACCACTGCAGTTATCTGTCATAATATACTTAACGGGGCCAAGCCATGCATGCCTATAAGGAAATTATGTAAACAGGAAATAACAAGTTTTTTTTTTCGATGGTAACAAGTACACGGATATCTTGAAAATA